TCAAGTCAGTGTAATGCCAAATGTAAGAGTAGGGAGCAAGGCAAATAAAAATGATGAAGTGTGTGGGGGAGTTTTCAGCAGTGAAAGAACCTGGAAGGGTGAGATCTTGGTTCTATTTTTTCTTGTGTTACCTTGTGTATTTGGTTTTTCTTTACCTTTAGTGTAGGGCAAGGGTTCTAATCTAATTGAGATGATTAACAGTTGAAAAGATGTTTGTGTGGAGCTCAAGAAAGGTCCATATGAATAATGAGAATTGAATTTAATAATCTCAAGCAGGTGTGGGTTACATTTAATGATCTTGGGGCTACATTTAATGACCTTGAGCAAGTTGGTGGCCCATTGGTCAGTTTCGAAGTAACTGCCTTGACAAGCCATTGGTGGAACTTAGGGTGAATTCTTCCCTTGATAGATGGCGAGCCATCTCCTTAGAGCAAGTGACATGGTTGTTTGAGTGTGTTTCAACTGAACGATCCAGGAACCTTGATGTGTTGACTAAGCTCTAATTGTTGACCTGTTGACTTAGGTGTAACAATATTCTTATCCTAAAACTTAAATCATTTACTACAATTTTGTCCAAATAATCTTTCTTTTTTCAAAATCAATCTCAAAAACCAAAATCTTCAAATATAAAGAAGAATAATTTGAATAGAATCAAATTGTTGAAATCTCCTCCTAAGGGAGAAAAGTGAATGCATTCTTCTCAAATGAAGATATAGTAGTTGTAACAAAGGAAATATGCAAAGCTTTTCTAATTTTTTATTCACCATAGCTTGAATGTATTTGGCACAGAATCCCCTGCTTGCTTGATAGGGCTTGAGGTAGAAATCCAAGATGAAATCTCAATGCATCATTGTGGAAAGTGGCCTATAAACTAGCTTTAAAGGTTAAGGAAAAGCTAAAGAGAAGGGGGCACCGAAAGTGATAAGGGATCGACTTTACAATCGGACGAGGAAAGAGACCCCTTTTCTCTTCCCTCAATATATATGGCACATTTTACTAATATGAAAAAAAGTCATGTATCTAGAATGAATGGAATCAAATTGTTTGGTGTTTAATCTTGTATAAAGATTTTGTGCTTGTAAAAATTAGAACTTTGATTTTTATTATTTAAAAAAAACCTAATATTCTATCAAAATGTAATTATTAATATTTTTCTTTTAAAAAATTATATGGCAATGAATTGGTATGAAATCACATAGTTATGAAAATAAGTCTGAATGTACCTTATTTTGTAAATTAAGATTTTAAACCTTAGTTAAGGAAAAAAAAAACCTCAGAGATGGAGCATGCTTGACAATCTACTTTTATCATCTGAATCCTTAAATCCATCTTATTGTCATCCATTCAATCATGGTTTTCAAAAGTTAAAAAAAGAATGTATTTGTTTGGATAAAAATAAAAGAAGATTTCAAAATTTAGGTGAAATTTCAATAGTGAATTTGAGGTGCTCAAATTCCTTCATGAAATTTCACTTAAAAAGTGATTTTTCAAAATTTTTCTAAATCATCTCTTTTTTTACAATACATGATCCACCATAAAATACAAAATTCAAAAAAAATAAAATATGATTTTATTTAACTCTAATATATTTTTTATTTTTATATTATTAATAACATCTATATATTTTTAAAAATCTAAAAATAATCGTATTGGATATTATGTTTATACATATATATTTTTTATCTTTAATATCATTATTCCTCTTTTTTAATTTTTATTTTTAACTAATTATTATACATATATATTTTTTATCTTTAATATCATTATTCTTCTTTTTTATTTTTTATTTTTAACTTATTACATTCTAATAGACTAAGTTACTTTATAAGAAATATTTATCCAAACAAAATAATTAAAAATGCTAGCATTTTAAAATGATGCATTTAAAATGCTAGTATTTTAACTTTCATTTCAAATTTATTGAAATTTTCAAAATTCTTCATCCAAACACACTCTTAATCGATAGTATTTTAACTTTCATTTCAAATTTATTGAAATTTTCACAATTCTTCATCCAAACACACTCTTAATGGATTTTAAAACAAAGAAATTTTCATTTGAATTTTCTCAAAAAAAAAAAAAGAATATAAAAGGAGCAATAGAATTTTGTTCCTTGAATCCCATAAAAAAATGTTGAATTGCCCCAATATTTTCTCTTTTCTCTCCTTGATTTTGCTCATTAGTTTTTCCATTTATGCTAAGATCGGTATCTTAGATTTGATTTTTTTTTAAATTCTTTTTTTTCAATTAAATTGAGAACCCTAATTTCATTAATTCATATACAATTCATATTTTATCAATAATTCAATTTTTTTATAATTATAATATTTGTTCATTTTTTTCCTTTTTCCTTTTTTAAGAATACACTACAAAAAATCTGACAATTTGTGACACTTTTTCTAAGTGACACATTATATTTTGTCATGTAAAATATGTAAAAGGTGACGAAAAATATATTTCATCACCTTTTTATATTGTTTAGATATTTTATATGACAAAATATAAAATCGTCACTTGATAACGTCACCAAAATCTTGCCACTAAAATTTACCACCAAATTTATTTGGTGGGAAATATTTTTGTGACATTTTCTTATTTTAGGCGACATTATAATTTTGTTATCAATTTAAAATTTTATCTGTGACCAATTTTCTCTGATAGATTTTAGGTGACAGTATTAATTTTTGTCACAAATTAAATACTTTAGTTAACTATTAATGACATTGCAATTTTGTCACATCAATGTATGGTGTTATATGATGATAATATAAATGTTACAAACTTTTACCGTCAATTTTATTTGGTGAAAAATTTTTTTGTGATGGTTTTTATTTTAGGTGACGTTTAAATTTTGTCACTAATTTAAATTTTATGTGACTAATTTTTTTAATAGATTTTAGGTGACGCTATCAATTTTTGTCATAAATGTAACACTTTAGTTAACTATTAATAACATTGCAATTTCGTCATGTCAATGTATAGTGTTATATGACGATAAAATAAATGTCATAATCTTTTACTATCAAATTTATTTGGTGGGAAATTTTGTTGTGATATTTTTTATTTTAGGTTACGTTATAATTTTGTCATTAATTTAAAATTTTATTTGCAACAAATTTTTTCTAATAGATTTTAAATGATGTTATTAATTTTTTTCACAAATTGAACGCTTTAGTTAACTATTAATAACATTGCAATTTTGTCAGTCAATGTATAGTGTTGTGTGATAATAACATATATATCACAAACTTTTACTATTAAATTATTTGATGAAAATTTTTTTGTGACGTTTTTTTATTTTAGGTGACGTTATAATTTTATTACCAATTTAAAAATTTGTCTACAATAAATTCTTTTTTATAAACTTTAGGTGACATTATCAATTTTTATCATAAATTGAACTCTTTAGTTCACTATTAATGACATTGCAATTTCGTCACATCAATGTATAGTGTCATATAATGATGACATAAATATCACAAACTTTTAAAAAAAAAATTGTGATGATTTTTTATTTTAGGTGACGTTATAATTTTGTCACCAATTTAAAATTTTATCTGTGATTAATTTTATATGATTGATTTTAAGTGACATTATTAATTTTTGTGACAAATTGAATACTTTAGTTAATTATTAATGATAGTACAATTTCATCACATCAATATACGATATTATATGATGATAACATAAATGTCATAAACTTTTAAGTGATGTTATGATATTATTTATCTATCACTAATAAGTTTAAATTAATTTATAATTTAGAAGTGACGATTTTATTTAGATTATATATATCTATTTAAGAATATTATTTTTAATTTTTATTAAGCATAATTTATTTAAGTATGTATTCATATATAAAAATTTTCTAATTAAAAAAATGGATTAAATATTTCATAAAATAAAAATTTTAAAATACACAATTTATTAAGAATTTTAAAATTTTGCAAATAATAAATAGCATAAAAATAATTTTAAAAAAGTTAAAGGGTATAAAAGGCCCTTAAATTATAATTAAAAATCATATAAACTATTATTTTTTGTTGCAATTGATTACTTCTCTAATATTTATTTGTGTCTAATTAAGTGATTATTTAGATGAAAAAATTAATATTGTTAACCATTTTACCAACTAAGTAAAATTTCATGTCATATCAATAAAATAGATTAAAATTTATCACTATGACACAATTAATATACATGAAAATTAAATAAAACAAATTTTTTTCTTTTTTTTTATTTTCTTTTCCTTTCTCTCTAAAATCATTAAAGATTCAATTTATTGTAATTCAAAAATTGATTGATTTGATTTTGTTACATAATTAAATTTCATTGAATTTAGAATTCAATTGAATAAAAAAAATTAAAAACTCGATTATTTATAATAAAATATTAAAAATTTAAAAAATATTTTAATTATAGTTAAGGAACTTTTTTTTTTTTTTGGTAGGAGTTAAGGAACATTTTTTACCTTTAGAAAAAAAATATTAAAGAGTTATCCACTTAAAAACAAAAGTGCAAAATGAAGCATTATTTTCGGATTAAGCCTAGGCCTATAATGAGTCCAAGTACATGAACCGTGGACTTTGATTTTGAATCAAAGGATATAGCTATACAAAGAGTAGTAGCGTAAAAAGAGGGAAAAAAGCCTATTTTCGATGTTTATTTCAAATTTTTTTCTTGCTTCTACCTATTGCTAAGGTTTTTTTTTTTTCTTGTGAAATAGCTTTCATGGGGCTCTCCCTCCCTCCCTCCATCCTTCATCAGATTTCTACAATTTCCTCAAACAATCAAAAATCTCAAACACCAACAATGCTATGTACGAATCCAGAGGGAAAGTTCGTTAAAACCTTGATTTAAATTTTTTTTCTTCTTGTTCTTGAATGGAATGATTTAATTTGATGAATAAAATTTATAATTTAGCTTAAAAGGAAAAAAAAATACAATTTCATACTTTAATTACTTTTTTTCTCAATTTTTTACTGTTTGTTTCTCTTAGGTAATGCATATGAGTGGATTTCATGTTGGGTTTGGATCAATTGTATGGATTTTTTAATTCTAGGTTTGTATCTCCACTCTCTCTCCTAATTTTTCTTAAAAACCCCTTAAAACCTTAACTGACCCTTGTAATCTAGGCTTATTGGTCTCTGCTTCCAGATCCTTGAGGTCTCTCAAAACAACTAGACTAACTACTACTAATGGCTGCGGCTTAACTCTAGCCTCTTGCATGGTCTCCATTCCTACTATTAAGCCTCAAACTTCTCTCAATTTTGAGATCTCTGTCTTTAAGAAGGAGAAAGTCTCCTTTGCTGGTCACGGTAAGGTAGGTTTGGTTTTTTATTTTTTTATTTTAGTTTGGAATTTGCATTTCTGATCATTTCAAGGGCTTATTAATTTGGTTTAGTGTGTTAAATTTTGGTTTTTAGTACATTGTGAAAGGACGAAGGAATTTGTTAAAGTTGCTGCTTGATGCTTCCAAAGGGATTAAGCAGATTAACGTTATTGGTTGGGGTTCGTTGGTACCAAACAAAACCTTAGTGTTCTTTTTTCTTTAGTAAGCTTTGTTTGGTTTGTGTATTTCTTTTTTGTTTGTATTTCCAATCAGTTTTGTTATTACAATGTTTTTGCCGTTGCTATTTAAACAATATGCAACATGAGTTATTGTTGCCATTTCATTGATTATCTTCTCCTTAATGAAGAATGTGTGTTTTCTTTGCTCTGATTTTGTATCGAGCTTGACAAAATAATTAAAATGAATTAGATATAATAATGGAAAACAACCCCAAAATGAAATTTTGACTAAATTTCTTCATTTTCTATATAAAAGAAGAATTTTTCCTAATAAATTTCCCCATCTTGAAGTAATTAGGAAAAGAAATTGAGGATTAAAGTATGAAGGGAGATGTTATGCCCTTCTAACAACTAATCCCAAACTATTTTTCCCTTTGTTTTTAGTCCTCTTTTTGCACTTTCATCCTTCATCATAGCAAAAGCATCTATAATTCAAGCTATGAATCAACATAAACCATCATTTCCAAGTAGTTTCATATCACCTTATGAGCCTCTATTTGTAACACACATGTTCGGCTTAATCTTAATCATTGCCATCAACTTAGTAGCCTTATAATAAATTATGTCAGGGAACTTATTATATAGGAATGCTTTTTTACTTTTAGAAACAGACATCAGATTGTATTAATAGAGATCAATGTTGCAAAAAAAAAATGTATGATGAATAGAAATCAAACTTGAATGATTTAATATTTGTAGTTGGTGAAATATTTTGCTTTTAAGATTAATGCTTTGATCATTGCAATTTAATATAGGCTACTTGGCATCCAAACCTTATGAAATTTCATGGGCTAGAATAATTATGATCAAACCAATCAAAAAACCAAGAGAAGTTCCATATTAATTGTGTTTATACAAATTGCAGCCTAGCTTTTCCAGGCCTGTGTTAATGCACAGCTTGATTTTTCTTTATTTGCTAAGTTTTTGTGAAGTTTATTTGTCAATTTCAAAGTTACAAAAACTCCCACAATCCCACTATAAATTTCACCTTCTAACAAGTTACAACTATATCTGTACAAGGGAACCTTTATCTCCATATTCTCTATCAAAGGGCCCTTGCCCGGTTATTGCGATTCTTGATTTGATGTGGCCACCTGTGCTATATCTGTGTGTTTCTGCTTTATTTGTTTACATGTTTATATCTTAGTTTACGTTATTATTACAACTTCTACTTTCCTATCTTGATTTGAATGATAAAATGTCATTCCTATGATGCAAGATATATCAAAGTATGATAGATATATAGGCTTCTTAAAAGCAGGTGCAATTATAATTTTCCTATGATTTATCCGAATTGATTTAAAAATAAGCTTGAGATAATGGTGATTACTTGTTTAAACATGAACCACCCATCTTTTGTCTATTTCCTATGATTAGTATCAACATTACAAATTGAGAAGTTTACTTGTCAATTTCTTGACAAGACCTATTCTTTAATATAGAGTAGGGCCTCATTTAAAAATTTTATATGCATAAATTGGATTAGTTTATTTTTTATATTAGTTTTGATCTTATTGTGTGCATTATGGTTTGTTTTGATATTTACTATTATTTATTTATTGTAGCTTCAAGTAACACAAACTCACCATCAACACAATCACCCTCGACACAAGATTTGGATTGAAAGCTTGAAGAGAAGATTTCGATGACTACGTATTTCATAGTTATGACCTTTTTATTTTTTAAACAATATTATTTTTAGATGATTTTAGGGTAGACTTTAAATAATATGATACATTTAAAAACCAATTTAAATATTTGGTGGATTTGTAAGAACACTACATTAGATTATTCCACAAAAATGGTTTTATATATAGGATTTAATAATGTTAATTATGTTACCAATACTTTGATGATTTATCTTTTGTCACTAATATATCAAATTTAATTATTTATCTTGTGATGATTATAGCCATTAATAACATTTTTTCATAAATAGCTAATGAAAACTAATGTAAAAAAAAAAAAGCATAATGCGACATTTGATTTTATTGTCACATTTGACGTTATCTTATAACCTTTTGTGACGATAATTATGTTACTAATACTATGATTATTTATCTTTCGTCATTAATATATCAGATTTTATCATTTATTTTGTGATGATTATAACCTTCAATGACATTTTTCTTTATAAATAGCTAATGAAAATTAACATCATATAAAAAAAAGCATAAAGTAACATTTGATTTTGTTGTCATGTTTGATATTATTTTATAATCATTTGAGATTATAATTGTGTCACCAATATTGTGACGATTTACCTTTTGTCACTAATATATAAGATTTTATCATTTATTTTGTGATGATTATAGCCTTTAATGATGTTTTTTTTTATAAATAGCTGACAAAAACTAACATCACAAAAATTAACGCATAAGGTGATGTCTGATTTTATTGTCTTATAATCATTAGTGACGATAATTTTGTCACTAATATTGCAATGATTTATGTTTCATTAGTAATATATCATATTTTCTCATTTTTTTGTGACGAATATAGCCTTCAATGACTTTTTTTTTTTATAAATAGCTAACGAAAACTAATGTCATAAAAAGGACATAGGGTGTGGTTTTATTTTATTGTCACAGTAGATTTACAATAGGTGACGATATTTTGCTGTCGTCATATTAGACCTTTAGCAACGGTGTAAACGTGAAGAACGTTGTGACGTTTAATTTTTTGTCACGGAATATATAGGGTGACGAAAAACAAATATGTAGTGACATTATTTTATACGCCACTAATGACCAAATTTGTTATAGTGATAGATTCTATGACCTTTTTTAGTATGCTATATAGAATTATTTTTATTTTTCCTTTTCATGTTTCTACTTTGTTGCCAACAAAGATTTAATATGTTCAATTCACTAAAATTAAAGGTGTAAACAAATAAAGTTTTCAACAAATCGTTCATTATTATATTCGGTTTCTATTTGTTTATATTCATTTATTAAGTTTAACAAATGATTTTGAACAACATGTTTACGTTCATTTATTAAACGAACCAAATATGAACAAAGGTCTGTTTTGTTCATTTATATTCATAAACAAACTTGTTTAAGGTTTAAAACTTGTTTGTTTATTATTCGTTTATATTAATAACAAAATTACATTTTTATCATTTACCCTAATCCTATTTTAAGGTTCATTTATATTTGTTTAGGGTTTGTTTGTCTAAATTTGTTTGGTTATACTTTGTTTATTGTTTATGAACATGTTCGATTATATATGTTCATAAACATTTTTGTTTAATGTTCATAAATGAGTTCATTTAACTTAATTGAATTGAACACAAAATGAACTAAACTCGAACATTTTACCATTTTAACAAACTGAGCTTGAATGATTAGAGCAATTTTCTTATTTAGCCCAAACACCTCTAAAAATAAACAAACAAATCATAATCATACATTCATTTGTTCATGTAAGATTCATTTACATCCCTAACTAAAATGAAATTTAATCACAGTGATAGACTTGTTTTCTTAAGATTACAATTTGAAGTCATTTATCTTGGTGGAGATAAGGAAATTGAATGCTAGCTATTATGTTTATGCACACGATAGTAGATTGGTTTCTTTTGCTTCAATAATGCAATGCAAGATGTTTAATGGACTTTAGATAAGCTTCACTATTTATCATAATCCTTTTACATTTAGTCTCCACTCAATGCAAGAAAATAAACTTAGAAATTAGTCGTGGAGGCTAAATGCGAGAAAATGGTCTAAAAAGCAAAATTGTTCATCTATTGAAATGGGCATGAATATGTAGCATTAAAGTCAATACAAGAAAATAGGCTTTTTGTGGCATTTTTTTAGTGATGTTTTACAACAAATGTAACGAGTTTTCATGTTTTGAATATAGCAACATTTGTAAAATCAAATGCCATTGATCATGGGCTTTTGGGGCATTTGAACAATAAAATGCTGCTAAATAATTTTGAATTTTATTAAGTTGGAAATATAATTTTATTATAGTTATTTTGCCGTGTTTCACTAAACAAAAAACAAGTCAAATTTTTTTTTTCAAAATAGCGACATTTATAGTATAAAATGCCACTAATTATTAAACATTTGCGACGCTTATAAAAGAAATCGCCACTAAATAAGCCTCACATATTGAAACGCATCATTTGGCATATTTAGTGGCGTTTGTTCACACAAACGCCGCTAAATAAACCCCACATTAAACCCGCAATTTTCGACCATTTTCATGCCCAGAACATTTCTGTTTTGAATTTCTTCTCTGCCCAACTTTGTTTTCATTTTCTATTTTATTTTCTTGTTCCAGCTTTTCTTTTTCTTTCTATTTCTTCTTATTTTCCATCCGATTGTTGTTTGAATTTTGAACTGAAACCCATTCGAAAGCTCATACTGAAACCCATACAAATCCATCTTCTCTGGTGGTCCACCGCCGGCCGCCCTGTTGTTCTAAGCTGAAGCGACGACCTCCTATACCACAGCCAGCTTCTCCGGCCTACTGTTGCACGCACCAGGTTCCTTTTCATTCTGCTTAAACTATTGTTCAACTTCATTCTGCTTAGTTGTTTGATCATTTGTTGCAATATTTTTTAGAAAGGTTAAAAAGAGCAAAGCTTGAAGACTAAAAAATTAAGATTCTAGTTTTGGTTTTAATTTATGCGTAAACATCTGTATGGTCCTGTTAAGTTACATTTCATTTTCCTTTATTTTGTGAGCGAAGATCACTGTTTTACTGCTGTGATTTGCTGAAAGCGGTCTATGGAGGTAGTCCACGCATTTTATTTTTGATGTTGGTATTGTATAATTAGATTGAGACATGAGCTTTTAATGCCAAGAAACAGTTCATTTATAACATTTCAAATATAATGTGCTTTTAAAGAGGTTTTAATGTTATTCTTTCTAGCGAGGGGACAGGGGACTCATAGGACAATTGTTTAAGCCAAATGCTCAAAAAAAAAAAAAAAGAAAGAAAAGGTATAAGAACACAAGAGAGAAACGAATTAAAAGAAGACGCTGCGTATAGAGGTTGCAATTTTGCTAAATCAATTTTAGGCTACAGTGTATTATGCCTTAGCATTCATATCTGATCTCTGTGGAATGCAAATGGTGATGCAGAATGTCAGTTAGGTGGCTTCCTTTCTTCATTGCTGGGAACTGGATGTGAATGTGAGGGTTATATTTACGAATGGTCGGGCATTCCAAAGAGGTGCAATTGCTGCATTGCTAGGAATAAGAGTATGCTTTCCCTTGCTCCCCTGATGTGATAATCTGCAATTTGCTTATATACCATGCTAAATGATTGAATTAGACATAAGACCATAAAAACAAGGTTTAGGTAAACATGTATTTTGTGCCCACTGAATATGGCCATAATCTCCCCCTCTTTTTTTGCATCTTTTCTTCAAAGTGCAGATTGTTAAGTGACTTGCATGTCAGTAGATATCAAGATGAATCCATATTTATTAAACCATGGGAAAGTAGAAAGGAGGGTAAATTTCACTTAATTAATATGACCTGACGGTTTCTAAAAGAATCTCTCAACTTGAATTTGTGGATACTTGTTAAAATTTGAAAGGACTTGGTTAAATAGAATGTAAATTTTAGTTGTTCAACTTGAATTTATGTTGGTATTCTGAGTAGTTTGTACCTGTCCTATAATGATTCCCACATGCTTCCTCCTCCCTCCCTCACCACAATTTTTCACACAAAGCTCTCTGACCTATAAAGCTCACTGTTCTACAAAGTTCATGAAACATTCCACATTTTCCAAAATATGCACAGAGGAACCAGATGAATTGATTCCCGTATCAATTTTTATAATCCTCCTTTAAATATGAAAATCCTCATACATTACCTTCTGTAAAAATTGCGGACTGGGACTTATTTCTCGTCATGTTTCTCTTATTATTTTGTTATTCTTTTATTTTACTATGTCCAGAAGAATATTTTTATTCTTTTTTTAAAATAAAATTTGATTAATTTTTGCAAGACGTGAAACTAAGAATACCCTCACTCATGCACCTCCAAGCTAAAGGTTTCCTCGATTTCAATGATTATTAATAAATTTTCCAAGTTTTATTTTTCTTGGTTTGATGATTGATTTTCATTTTTTGATAATTGATGATTGATTTTCTTCAATTGATGATTGATTCTTGGAATCTTAGAAAACATCAATTTTTATCATTTAAATTCATTGGTATCTCCAGAAAGCTTCAATTATACTGATCCTAATACCAAAATCTAAACCAAAACATGCAGATATTTGCCCTTATACATAAAAGAAAAGAATCAGTCCAAAACTACCATTTTTAGCATATTTGAAGTGTATGTACGTCATGGTAATCAATGGAGTCAATGTTAAACTTGGAGTCAAGGCCTTTCTTTTTCACGATATCACTAAATACACCTTCAGCCACTCGACTCCTGTAGATGTTGCCTAAGTAAACAAACAAAACAGAGAAAGGCTTTGTTTCTGTGACAACCCCTGTGGATGGTGCTGACGAGGCCATTGATGCTACCAGCGACCCAAAACAAGCTCCGCTTGAAAGTAGTGGCCACAAGTGGAGGCCATTAAAAATAGTGGGCACAAGGCCCAATAAATTAGGGAATTGGCTTTAGATTTAAGGAATAATAAAACTGATCAGCTGGTTAAAAGTGATGCGGACAATACATTACTGATGCACATATATAGAAGTGAATTGCTTAGTTGATGTCATTTATTTTTGTTTATTAATGAAATCTCTCTTGGTGCAATTCTTGCATATATTCCTGCATGCATTTGTTGAAAATAATGATTTAAACTTGCATCCTCTTAAAGAAAAAAAAAAAAAAAACTATAATATTTATCGTAGGAAATTAAAAAGTTATACACAAAAAATGTCCTTTTTTGTCACATCAAATTTTCTAATCCAGTAAGTCATCTCATTTTTTTATTATTATTTTAAAAAAGTCATCACAAAACAATTAAGTGCATTTTGTGTGTATGTTTTTTACACGTATGTAGCGTTGTCATCGTATAAATGAGATATCAATAATTTTTAGTGATGTATGCATACACATACAATAATGCATACATACAAGTTTAAATTTGATATTAGTAAAAGTTAAAATTAATTAGGTCAGTCCAACAAGAAAGTCATTAACAAAGTTAAGGATTTTATGCAAGGTAGGACCCAAAGCATTTATAAATACACATAATTTCATCATGTAATATAAGTAGTCCATTTAAATATTTTATTTAATAATGAAAACATATATTTTTTAATTAATTAATTAGGTGGGAACCTACAAATTTTCAAATAGAAAAAAAAACATTTGTTCGTTATGAAACATATACTAATAGGTTAAAAAAGAATTAGCATATATATTTTAAAGGGGAAATAAAATATATATATATATATATAGTCCTTTTAATCTAGAAATCATATGAAAAAGAAAAATCAACGTAATAAATTAGCTTATTACTAGAAGCAGGTGCTCTTTATCGTACAATGTTTTCAACTGCTAACATGCAGTTTTCATTTTCTGCAAGTAGAAGAAAAAAGGATAATATTTCCCTTTTGCTTTGCAGAAAACTCGAAAAGTAGAAGTTTAATTTTGCAAAAAGAACTCTAAGAAGAAGCATTAATAGTGAAAGGAGTAACTCCAAATATGAATTTTTGGGTTAGCTTTTGTTATCTTGACAATATTAAAACAAGCCCAAAACAATATATCCTCTGTATGCATCAGAAATAACTATCAATATGCATGTCTAATATGCTAGAGATAAAGGTTAGTTGCCAATTTTTTTTCTTATGTTTGACTGTTTGTTTTTAATTTTTTACTTATTTTGTATATTAATCTGTAAAAATACTATTATGTTTCTTTTTTCTTTTTTTTTTTTCGATTGAGATAAGGGTTTGCTCATCAGCAATTGCTCGATTTCTGTCAATTGTGTTTTTGCCCATTGGTATTTTGCAATTGCTCTAGTTCTTAAGCACACTAGTGATCATAGTGGAAAAAATCATTCATCAATGGCAATGCTACAAGTCTAAGAGATCATCAAATTTATACATTTTAAATTTTTGGTTAATGTAATGAAATAATATGAATGTTATTGTATTAAACTTTCACTTGCATGCATAATAGAAAAAATTATATATTTAGATATTTAAATATTTATAATATTTAATTTATGAATTTAAATTTTTTTTTATGAATTTAAAAATATTTATCTATATTTATTTAATAATAATAATAAATATTAAAAAAATAAAAAAGTAAAATTTTTAATTTAAAGACGTTTGTAGTAAAAAAACGTCATTAATTTAACAACGCTTATGTCTAAAAACATCGCTAAATTACAGAAATTAGTGGTGCCTCTAAATTATTGATTTTTTTACACAAATGCCACTAAATAACAATTTAGCAGTGTTTGTAAAGAAAAATACTGTTAAATTTAGTGGCATTTGTATGCGAAAATACTGATAGGTTAGTGACCTTGTTTTCTAAAATATTGCTATTTTTCCTTACGCATCAACACTCTTAATAACGTTTTTTTCAAGTGCTGTGAATCATTTAACAACATTAATAAACGCCACTAAATATGAAAAAATACCACTAAAAACTTATTCTCCTGTAGTGAGTGAACGATGATTCCCCTTCCAAAAGGGATTTTTTTCCTCTGCAATTTCATTAATTGGACAAGTTGCTACCTTCTATGTTCATCTTTAATCTGCTAGGATTATTCGATTATCGACGTTTTGAGGTGGTAATGGTTGAGGAAGTGTAGATAGCACGGTTTGATACTACTAGAAAACTGGCTTTTAGTGTAAAAATTTTTCATCGCTAAAGTCCGAGTTCTGTTGCTAAATCATAGTAGCGATAAAATTTGGCGTTATTATTCCATCAAAAAAGTTGAAGTCGCTAAAAATATTCTATCTGTAACAAAAATTCCGTTAGTAATAGGTTAACTTGTAGCGACGGAAAATTCTGTTGCTAAACTTTTTAGCAACAGAAACAGTTTCTATATGAATATACTTTTAGCTATGGCAATTTCGTGAATAATTTACAAAATTCTGTTAATAAAATTATTTTCTTCAATAATATTTTAGTGACAAAATTATGTCGATAAAACTTTATATGGAAAACGGTTTTTTTGCAAAATTGCTATGTTTCCTTAAAAGCCCAAAAGATCATTTCTTTTTAGTAAAGGATCGATCTGCTTTGACTCTTCAACTAAAATAATTCTTCTGCATCACTAAGGAAGATCAGTCCTTTTGCAGAAAAATATAATAAATACTCATAATAAGAAATAAAATAATATTTTATAAAATTGTTACAAACTCTATACAAAATGCAAAAATTAAACTTTGTACAATATGTTACAAACTTAAAACAAACATGATACAAACTTAATATAAAAATAAAAATAAGAAAAATAAATATGAGATATATCTTTCTATTTTGGAAATCGATACATCTTTCTCTCTCATCAAACATTGTGCGAATGATCCAACTAGATCAGCCTAGCATTAATCCCTATCCTCCAACATAGTCCATTTCTTTATACCTTTCCTGTATTTTACAAAGTTTTGTTTGCAATCAAAATGAAAGTAAACTACCCAACACAACTTTGAAACAGAAGATACAATGTACAAAGACTCCTAGTCAAAATTTAAAAAAAAAAAAAAAAAAAAAGAAGATAAATTCCTTTGCCTAGTTGGAACAAGGCTAAAAGTAGACTTCACCTACTGCACCTTGAGATTATATGTGTGCTAAAGAAATAAAACTAAAATCATTTTGTCTTGATATAGGATAAACTCAATGTAAATAAGGAAACAATAAATTAGTAAATTAATAATAATATTTTCCCCATCTTAATTAACATACTGTTAAAAGTAGAAAGATCTGTACCTAGACAAACACATTCCCAACTCCATTTTTTCTTGCATCAGAATCTCGAAGTGACTTCATCACCCTTTCATTTTCCCATTAGAAAAGTGTTATTCTTTGCCTTAATAGCATGATGTGCTAGTCATATCACAAAAGAAAAGGAAGACATCTTAAAGATGAACCATATATAAAGTTCAACCGAGAATATACGTATAAAAGATCAACCAAAAAGTCAGACATAACTGAACACATTCTATCGTTTAATAGCAAGCATTTGCTCCACCCTAAGAAAGTGTTTGATATAAGGTGATATGTTTAAAAATTACATTGATCTATACTGAATAGTTACATCACTTTATTTTATAAAAATTTAAAAATTTTACGTGTTAATGATATCAAATCATTATAATAATAAGCTCATTGTCTTTGAGAGTGATTTAATTCTCAATCTAAATGATGAAAAAAATTTTATCATCATGAAAAAATAATTTTTAATATTATTTTTTAACTAATTTACCTTTACGAAAAATATAATTAACACTAATATAAGATACTGGTCACTAAAAATTTTAAAATTTTTGTTTTTTTAATTACTTATTTTTTAAAAATGTTTTATGTTATAAATTTATATTGACTAAAAAAATAATAAATTTATTTTTTTTGGAAATTATTTTTATCAAAATTGATTTTATTTTATAGTTTTTTATAAAATAACTTTTAATTATTATATAAATTATTGATTCAAAAAGTATTATTTTTTTTTCAATGTTATTTTGGATATTTAGTATTATATGATTTATTTTTTTCATATACTACCAAATATAATGCTTTAAAACTATTAGTGATTTATAATATTGTATTAAATATAATAATTTAAGATTATTGATGATTTTATCACCATGGTAATTAGATCACTGTAAACGATGCCTAAAAGATCAAACTTTTTTGACAATATACTAGTAACCCAAAACAGATGAAAGATCAAATTTTGAAACAACGAGAAAGGAAAAACAAAGAATACTTTGAAAAAGAAAAGTTACTAACAAATTTGACGTTTTGTCCTGAGGAGGAATGAAGTCGACAAAATCACAAAAAGACTTGCCCGTAGAAGAACCCTTACAAACACGAACAGAGCCCAAGCTCTTAATCTCAGAGAAAGCATCAAAAACAGCTGCTTAACTAAACTCAGTGTAGATAAAAAAGCAATAAATTAGTAATTAGAAAAAAATCTCAAAACCCATATTTCAAATTGGAAAAAAACCTTAATAGGAAAAAATACCAAAATTCCAAACCCACCCTCAGATTTGTGAAGAAGGAGCAATGAAAAGAGCAAGTGGGGGTGGTAATGTAAAGGAGGGCAACTGGAGAAAGAAGGGGAAACAAGGAGAGAAAGGGAAGGGAACAGGCTGTTGAATCTTACATGAACGATGGGATCAGGTGGCCAAACAGCGGAAAAACTTGCCGGAGTCAAGGAAAAGGTTGTGGTGTTGGTGTTGGTGTTGGTGTTGGTTGGGGAGGGAGGGCTAGGGGAGAGAGAAAGAAGTAACGGAGGAGAGGAGAGAAAAGAAATATAATAATTTAAACTAAAGTTTTGATTTAGCAGTGGAAATTTTTCGTCGGTAAAATCCGTTGTTAAAAAAAATTTCTAACAAACTAATTAAGCATTAGCGACGAAAATTAACAATGGAAGTTCGTCTCTAATTACCAGATGACAATTGGCAATGAAACTTTTCATCGCTAATGATTATTTTCCTTTTAAAAAATAAAAAAATAAAGGGTTTTATGAAAATAAAGAATTAACGACGAAAATATTTCGTCACTAAATATGCGAAATAAAACATAATTAGTGACAGAAATCCATCATTAACTCTGTCGCTAATATTGGTGTCATTTCTAAACTTTTGACTGGAACATTTAGCGATGAAATACCTTTTGACGTGTAATTTTTGTCTTTACAGATGGATTTTCGATGCTAACTCCGTTGCTAAAATTAAAATTCAATTCATTGGAATCCATCAATCATCTATAGTAAACCATCAGTATTAATGACTTTTAGCAATGAAAAATTCTAACAATAAATTTTCGTTGCTTAAAACATGTTTCCTTGTAGTGTGAGATTAGAAATCTGACACTAAATAGCTTTTCATTTTCCATCAGGCATTCTTTTGTTTGAATTTGTGATTGTGACAACATGATTTAAATTCTTGAATCAACAGTTTACGAGAATTTAAAATTTGATTCTTTTCTACAAGAAACCAAGGTGAGATGGATGACTAGAATACATTTCTTGTCGGATATAATGCCATTTGAAGCCTATAAATGTTTTTTCCTGCCATGAAGCTGTCATATTTATTCTTTTGTTTTTCAATTTTTATTGACTGGTGTGGACCTTATCAGTTGGGCTTTCTAGGCATTTTTATTAACTAGTGGTAGGATGAGATAACAATCATGAAAAGAATAATGGTAAGATTTTTTTATTTCATCGGCTCTTTCTTTAGCCAGTTGGGCAAACTAAAGGATAAGTCTCTTATTGCTGACTAGTGCAAGACCATTAAAATTTTAATGCTTCTATATGATCCAATTATATGGTCGTAATGGCTTGGCAAAGTTAAATCTTTGTTAAGTGAACTATTTTTGCACTATATTCACAAAAAGACAATAGTATCTTTATTGTTATGGCTTCCTTAATTGTCATGGCTTCATAGTTGTCGTCTACCCCTTGATTTCTAGTAATGATCTTCTAATTTATGCAGTTTCCTTTTTTTTTTTTTTCTTTTACTAAGCCACATTTATTAAAGCAACTGAATGTTTACAAAGCTGCAACAACTAGCAGGCAGAGATCCAGTACCATCACTAAGAGCGAAAAAGAAACACCTAATTGAGAACAATAGAACAAACCTCCTAGCAACAAGATATTAAACACTAAGATAAAACGAACCGATAGAACATAGCAAAAGCACAAAGAACAATTTCATAACCGCTCTTAAAGAAACTACAAACAACGATCCAAGCTTGTTAATATCATTGATGCAGCCTAACATATCGAAAGATTCAGCAAACTTTGAAAGCTAACCATAAGCTACTAATTTTTAACAATATCATCCCACTCCCTTTGTTCAATTTCCATTAATCTAGTAATAATGATCTCTTCATCACCTACACAATACTGCCCAAGACGTTTCCCAAGCTCCTAAGTTTTAACAGCCTTATCTCTATGTAAAAAATTCATTCATCAGATATCATTGTCAAAAAAAAAAAAAAAAGTATCATTTTTGAAATCACCAGAGGCATGGGAAAACAAACTATAGTCTTCAAATGAGCCATTTTCGTTTTCCAATTGAAATTCTTTTGTTTTTCTTTTTTTTTTTTTCTAAGATATTTCAATTCTTTACTAAAAATGAAATCAACACAATGTTAAATATCTCCGCAATCAAACTTCACACTCTAATTCCCTATCAAATTCACTCTTATGTATGATAATTGCACATTGAATTAAGTAATATATACCTTTGAAAGAAAAGTTACAACATAAAAAAATGATGTAACACATATTATTTATAAGTTTAAAACTGCGTGTATGATAACTTTTGGATGATAAATATGTTTATATATATATATATATACTATTCACAATGCCATTAGGATTATCCTAGCTATTAAATACTAAAATTGATCTTAAAAAGAGTCCAAAATATATGGAAACGAAATGAAAAAAAATGATTTTTTACTTTAGAAAAATTCAAACATATAACAAAAGACTATAATTAAGTTAACGAAAATAGAAAAGATATGCATGATTTTAAAGTTATTAAAATTGTAGAATAAATTACAGTTAACGGACAATAAGATTTTAAATTTATAATAATTTTGAAAAGATCTTATTTATTTTGACTTTGATAAGTTATAAAAGTTACACATTTAAATATCAAATATAAGAATTAAGCTTTTTATTTGAGTTGGAAATTTAAATAAATTAATGCATTATCCTACATATCATGAAAAAAAAATTCATATAAGCATCCACATCAACGCACCTTATCCAGCAATCTTGTACTTTACAATATTTTATATATATATATATATATATATATATATATTAGCAAATTTATGGCTTTGTTTAAGTCAAAATTTCTTTTAATATGAACAAATAATAAATATTTATAAAATAATATCTAATGTCAACAAATTTATTCAATTGGAACCCTATTGATAAATAAACTAAAAATAAAACCTTAATTTCTAATGATTCAAAACCAATAACTTAATAACTTATACTTTTACAATGTATTGAAATATTAAAAAAATTAAACTGAAATATAGTACTTTTGATTAATTTGATTCATGGTTATTTATACTATTTCATAGATATATTAAACTTAAATTACACTAAATATTAATTAAGTACATTCATCCACAATTAATTGGGTTTATGGTTATCATAGATTCATGAATGGCTAATTTCATTAATAGTTAAATTCAATTTATAATTATTTATACTACTTAATAGTATATATTAATCTAAAAATAAAATATTAAATTTAAATGGTACCAAATTGGAAGTACATTCATCCATAATTAAATGAGTTGATGGATACCAGGGATTCATGAATCACTTACTTCATGACTAGTTAGATTATGTAACTTAAAATAAAAAAAAATAAATGTATTAGTTAATAATATCTATGAAACCAATTAATTACAAATCCCACAATAAAATTTGTAACCCTATTTATTAAAAGGCTTTGCTTGGGTAATTTTTTTTTCAGGATGAACAAATAATAGATATTTATAAAATAATATTTAATATCAACCATTTTATTCAATTGGAACCCAATTGACATGTGTATAACCTTTATCAATCGTCATGTGTTCTATGTTAATTATATTTATTTATATTTATTTCCTTTTAAATTGATATGAATTGATTTGATCTCATAAAAATTTTAAAATATTTTAATGCATTAATTATATTTATTTTTTTTAAAATTTTCAATTGACTTACCTTTTATTTCTAATAAAATATCCTAAATTATAAATCAAAGCTAAATCAATGAGACATTATAGTCAAAGAATTTCTTAATGATTCATAAAATTAATAAATACTATAATTATGATTATTAAACATTTTTTTAATGATTCAAAAAACTTCTATTGAAATCTAATAAAAAATTTTATAAAAAATTTAATAACCACTATAATTAGAGTTAAGAGTTGATTCCTTAATCAATTATTTGATACATTCATATTTGATTAAATATAATATCCAACTGAGCAATGGATATTATTCATTTATAAATATATATAACATAATGATCTTATATATTTATATAAGATTATGATACATTACAATGTTAGATTTTTGTTTTTGTTATAAAATCAATTGTACATTATAATTGTAGACACCCGATTTTGTTTATAATGATTCGATTTTGATCATTTTTATACTTGATTTAAATGTCTCAATTTAGACCAACTTAAGTGTTTTAGCCGAATTTGTGAACGAGTTTTGTGTTAAGATAATCGTTTTTCAATCATTTTTGCATGGGTTAAAACCCAATTCAATCCAATGTGGATCAAGTCAAATTTTGATAATTTGGGCTTGAAGGCACGAAGTCTAATGTGAGTCTATATTCAATTTAGAAAGCCCAATTTCATTTTGTTTTAAATTACTTACTTTAATTAATTAAAATTGAACCAAAATTTTTTTAACTTTAACTTAAAAAAAAAAAAGTAAGAAGAAAAATTGAAGCTAGCATTGCCAGCAACTAGTTGATCACTACCCTGCACCCTACAATAGGTAGCCTATTGGACACTACCTTGTAGCTCTGAGGAGCTGTTAAACCTTAGACTATTGCAATCCCAATTCAAAGATAAAATTCTCAAGCACCATTTGCAAAAAAAAAGGAAGGGAACAATTCATAAAAAAAAAAAAAAAAGAGAGAGAAAAAGCTCCTATCATTGGAAACCCATTTGGCCTCTTCAGCTTTCACCAACCCTAGAACTAACCTTTGCACATACCAACTCTAAGCTTCACCCCTAAGCACCAACCTAAACACGCCATGCACCATACCACAAATCTTGTAATCATCTTCAAACCACCAAACAGCTTATGTCCCTGTATGCATTGGGTCCATGTGAACAGCACCCCTAATCACCAAAAAACCTA